TCAGTGTTACTGACAGTGTAGGGAATAGAGCACAGGGGTCAGTGTTACTGACAGTGTAGGGAATAGAGCACAGGGGTCAGTGTTACTGACAGGGTAGTGAATAGAGGACAGGGGTCAGTGTTACTGACAGTGTAGGGAACAGAGCACAGGGGTCAGTGTTATTGACAGGATAGTCAATAGTGTTATCATGTCTTATTGACAGTGATTTGATTCCCCCAATTGTAATATAATCAGACCCACAAAGTTAGAGGAACAAAAAGTGACACTTACAGGAACTAGTTTCCAGTACCACCGGGTTGGACACTGCAGGTGAAGTGGGAGAGGAGGGGAGAGAGGAGCAAAACAGAAGGTAAAATAAGGAGAGAGAAGGGGAAAGAAACAATAGTCAGGCCAGATTTCTGTCATTTTAGAAAAGAGACAATTTGGCATTTGGTAAATCAGCAGTTATACATAATTATTTAAATTGTTATATTCAGAAACATTTTCTGCAAATAAAATAGCAAGACAATACCTGCATAAGTGGAATCCATAACAGAGTGTCAAATAGCCAGAATTAAAAGAGATGAAGTTAGAAGAGATGTGCCTCAATCTGTGCTGCTGGACATACAGGTTAGCTCTAACCCTGTCAAAACATTTCACTGAATATCTTTCTGTCTAGTGAATGTTGCTGAGAAATTTTGATGCCCTTGGTGCCATTTACCCCACTGCAGCTTGCAACTCGTTGTTTTGTAAATACACAGTATTGTGCAAAGGTTTTAGGTAGTTAATGAAAATGAAAAAGCTATTTATCTGGTTTGCAGGTGTGTATATTTGCTCTGGAAGAAAAGATAAATTATCACTAGAACATCGAAGAATAACACAATAAAAACTCTCATTCATTTATTCATTCATTCATTCATTTACTCAATTGATTGATTGATTAGTTATTTTGTTTGTTTTATCATTTTCTTTCACTGCCTAAGACTTTTGCACAGTACTATACATTCTATGTATAAAGACGTGCAGATACATACAGTGCATATACCCTTGGAAATTCAGCTGCTTTTGTTGCTTTTTATTTAAATTTTCATTGCTGTAGCAAGAGGAGAAAGAACCAGGAGATGGCTTCTTTATTTTGAGAATAACATGGCAGTTATAAAAGAAAGGAAGAAATTCCAGTTGCCGCCAATACAAAAGTGGACCTGTTTAAACTGTGGCAGGAAGAAAAATAAAGCTTCAAAATAAAAGTACATCTGCCTTGAGCATTCTGACTTACACATGCCCCACCAAAATTCACAGAGGCAGAGAACACCTCTTCTAAGGGGCTCTGCTCACCCACCCTGATCTGCTCACGGTATCGCCCACAGGAGCAGGCACAGACTGGGCTATTGCTGGCACTGGGACTGGAGAGCGTGGGCAATCCCTACAAGGAAGCCGGCCTAGTGGCACAAGTGAATCCAAATTACTATGGGCCAGCTTCAAATGGTTTACGAAAAGGTGGTTGGCTTTACCGATTTGTCCCTGAGCCATACAATGTGAAAATGCTTGTCATACAGGCTTGTCAAAAGATCATGATGGACATCATGCTGAACAAAAACAAAACTGGCATTCCTCAGCTTTGGAGGAACGTGAGATTGATATCCATGTTGCATCATGGATTTGCACAGAGTGAAAGCAGCTGCAGTGTCCCACAAAACTGAGCATTGCAGTGTGGCTGACCAAGGAACGGACGCATCGGGGAGAAAATCTCCAGACACCTGCAAGAGCTGTCTGTAAAGCAACTATGCAGAAACTGCAACCAAGTAAAACCCAGGGCAACCTGTCTAAGAAGTACCCTGAAGAGATGCACAAACGGCAGTCTTCAGACAGTGGTAAAAGCCCTCACATAACCCAGGTGATAAGTGGTGGTGAGATGAAGGGTGATCCCTAGCTCACTGGCAATTGCACCTCAGACATAAACTGCAACTTGTGATTGGAGGAGAGGTCGGCAGGCACACCAAAACGAGAGACTCAGGTGACAATTAAAGCCCTAGCTACATCTGTCGTTGCTCTGGATGCTAACAGTACTACCTCTGAACAGCTAGATGTACAATCAATGATTGTCATTGTCATGGAAATTGACACCGGACCTACCAAATTCACGTGAATGTGGTCAAAACGACATTCAAAGATGGCAAAAGACGCCAAAGGGAGCCTTCATGTGCAGCTGAATCTGTGGCACAAGGAGGACGTTCACGAAAGTGTCTGTGTCACAGAGAAAACACGGCCCAGAAACAGAATCCTCAATAAACAGTAAACTGCTTGGCTCCCTGATACCTATGCAGATACAGGATACTGGTTTTGTCGTTTCATGGCAGCTTGAAAGAGCAGAGCAGAATGTACTTCTTAGCGTGCACACCAAAACATGCATGATAAAAACAAAAATTGGATTTTGAGTCAAAATCCAGAGCAACAAAAAAATCAGCGGGTCCACTGCTATCCAGTGCAGGACTGCTTGCTGGCAATGCAAATCTTGTCCACTTCTTTAGCTAACTCTTGAAAATCCATAAGCGGGGCGCTTGCTAGAGCTGAGCGAACAGGAGCTGGCATTTGCTGCATGAACAACTCCCTAAAAATGAAACAGGGGTGATGTCTACCTTGCAAGCCCAGACAAGACAGCATGTGGTCCAGGAGTTCAGAAGGTTTCTGGTCTCCTAAGCTGGACAGGGCAAGAAGCCAACATGCCCGCTCTAGCTTGGATGGTTCAAAAATTGAAAGCAGCAGCGACTTAAAAGTCTCGTACTTGTTGTCCACCGGAGGATCTTGGGTAGCAGTATTTTGTGTCATCCTGCGTGATGCCCCGCACAGCAAACTGTGCCTCAGCCTGTGAGAACCACACAATGGCATTCTCACACCTGAACTCCGGTAAAGCCACAGCATTAGCAGTCATATTATAAGAAATTTCTTTGAAAACATACAAAGAGACATTGCGGCCATTGATATACAGTAGCAAGAGGAGAAAGGACCAGGAGATGTTTTTTTCATCTGTTTATCATAAATGATAGGAACAAATCCAAGTTGCCTTCAAGACAAAAGTGGCCCACTTAAACTGCAGCAAGAAAAAAATAAAGCTTCAAAATAAAAGCACATCTGCCTTGAGAATTCTGACTAAGCAAGTGCTATAATCCATCCACATCTTCCAAAAACTTATTCCACTATAGCGTCATTGGATGGCCAGGAACCTATCGTAGACAACACATTGTACACGACAGGCAGCACTCTGGAAAGAACGCCAGTCTATCTCAGGACACAAGACAGGGGGCGCCCAGGATGGAATGCCAGTCCATCGCAGGACACAAGACAGGGGGCGCCCAGGATAGAATGCCAGTCCATCACAGGACACATGACAGGGGGCGCCCAGGATGGAATGCCAGTCCATCACGGAACATTCAGTATTCAATAAGAAGATAACTTTTTTATACATTTACGCTTGTATGGTGTGTGAGTATATATTGTGATATACATGAATGAGTGTCTGAATGGTTTTATAGAAAGCAGGTGTAAAGGGTAGTGTGTGTGTTTGAGGGTGTGCTTGCTCACCGAAGGCTGGACAGGCTGCAGATCCGTACTGGGCTGAGGTCTCTGGATCGTATCTCCTTCTGTGTTCTCTCTCAGCTTTTGTATCAGCTTTGGACAAAACAACCACACAAACACTTGGTTAATTTAGCTAAAATCAGCTCTATTGCGTCGATTTGATGGACCCAGTACTGAGCTTGGTCAAGAAGATACACTGATAGAGTACTAAGCCTGAGTCAGCCTGTCCTACATGTCCAGTACTAAACCTGATCAGTCTGATACTCTATTTCAGTACTAAGCCTGGGTCAGTCCATCCTACATACCCAATACCAAGCCTGAGCAGTCTGATACTGATTCAGTACTAAGCCTGGATCAGTCCATCATACATACCCAATACTGAGCATGGTCAGTCTGATACTGATTCAGTACTAAGCCTGGGTCAGTCCATCCTACATACCCAATACTGAGCATGATCAGTCTGATACTGATTCAATACTAAGCCTGGGTCAGTTCATCCTACACACCCAATACCGAGCCTGGTTCAGTTAGTCATACCCACCCTGTTGATCCAGTAGAGTACACCGTTCTCCCAACTAGCTCTGCCCCACAACTGCTCCACTACAGCTGGCATCTTCACTTTGCTGACTGTTGCTATGGCATCCACCGACATGAGTGCATCGATCAATGCCAGATGAGCACTCTACAACAGTCACAGGAGAGGGGAAGTCAGAAACATTCAAGAGTAATATGAACACTGGAGGGAAAATATAGAAAAAGGCTATAAAAAAAAGATTGGCAAAGCTTCACAGGATCACATAATTCATTGTTTCAAAATGGTAAAAATTGTAGCACATCGTTTCTGGCCCCAAGTTCAAGGCATTCTACCTAATTCTGCAACTGGTTGAGTTGACTCACTGAGGTAAGTAAGAGCCCACTTTCAACTGGCTTATTTCATCTGGAATGGACCAAGCAAAGCCCAGACTTGAAAGTCTGTAGTATGAAAATAACCCACTGATGTTCTTTCCAACTTGTCAAAAAAATGCATATGCATCTCCAAAGACTATGGATATGCATCCCCAAAGACAATGCTTACACATCTCCAAAGACAATGGATATGCATCCCCAAAGACAATGCTTACACATCTCCAAAGACTATGCATACACTTCTCCAAAGACTATGCATACAAATCCAGGACTTTTGCCTTAAATGCTGTGAGTGAAAGGTCTCTCTACAAAGTACTCCTTTTGAAAATAAAAATTCAGCGTTTCATATCTGAAAAAGGGTTCTATATATTGAATATGTTTGTACTTTATTTGGTTAATGGAACTGAACGAATCAGAAATCCACACACAAATAAAAAATTTTGGATTTTAACATCAATAGAAACTGCATCTCCTTCAGGCAACTAACGTTGGAACAACAACAAGCATCACCATCACTAGCAGTCTGCACTGCACCACCAGGAGGCACCACTAACAGTATCTTCGTCACACCCAGCAGTGTCCACAAGGTGTCTCCACTGTACCATTAGCCATCCACTGCAGGCTGCTGGCATGTGTGGAGCGTATCTGAGGAAAAGCAAGTGCAGAGCAGAGCAATGCCAACCGACAAAAGGACACACACACACAGTCACTCATTTACACACACACACACACACACACACACACATACACACAGGTTTGTAATTATATTTTGTGGGGACTCTCCATTCATGTTATGGGGAAAACTGTAATCCCAACCTGACAACCTTAACCTCTACCCAGCCCTAAGCTTGACCATAAGTAACCAAACAAAATACGAGACTTTTGGAATTTTTAGTTTTTCGATTGCATTCACAGATCTTTTTGGAGACCTGAAAAAAATCAAAACATCACAACATGAAAATTACAGGTTTTTATCAAATTATCAGGAACCTTTGGTCCCCACAATGTAGAGTAAACATAATGCACACACATACATTCACACACACACATGCACAATCAAACACAGTAACACAATAGCAATAGCCTAGCATACTGTCCAGAGTATCCTCTGCCTCCTGGGCCGACGACCCACTACAACGCCCAGCATATTGTCCAGAGTATCCTCTGCCTCCTGGGCCGACGACCCACTACAACGCCAAGCACATTGTCCAGTTTAACAACTGCGTCCTGGGCTGACGACCCACTACACCGCCCAGCATACTGGCCAGAGTATTCTCTGCCTCCTGGGCCGACGACCCACTACAACGCCCAGCATGCCGTCCGGAGTATCCACTGCCACCTGGGCTGACGACCCACTACAACGTCCAGCATGCCGTCCAGAGTATCCTCTGCCTCCTGGGCTGACGACCCACTACAACGCCCAGCATGCCGTCCAGAGTATCCTCTGCCTCCTGGGCTGATGATGCACTACAGCCATATACGATAGTCAGTGTAGAAGATGGCAGGATGAGGAAAGTGTGAATTTCAGGGAGCTGTTTGTAGCTTATGCACGTACAGTGCTACATTTTTGGGCAGAAAGAAAATAAAAATTTGATTAAATTTTCCCCCTGGATTCTCTGCATTAGCTTCTTCCCAAATTCCCACCCTCTTCCCCCAACATCCTTCTCTTCTAGTCCATAATTACCAGTAACAACAACAGTTACAGCAAGAAGTGCCAGCCACTGGCCACACCCACCAGCCTGTCCCATTGGCTGAACAGGCTGTAAATCCTCAGGTAGCTTTTTATTTCACAAAGACTCAGTAAGCAAGTGCCCCACAAGCCTGCCCAGCACCCAGTCCATGCAAGCATTGAACAGAGTAGGAGCAAGAACACACCCCTGGCGAACCCCAGAATCCACTGGGAAGAACGCAGAGGTTCTGCCTCCAATGTGCACATCATTCACAGCATCAGTGTGCAGGCTGGCCAAGACATCCAGCAACTTTGGGATCCCACAAAGTCTCAGGATGTCCCAGAGAACTGCTCAATCAACAGAGTTGAATGCTTTACGAAAATCGACAAAGGCTGCAAAGTTCATGCATCATATTAAAATAAATTTACATAAAAAAATCTTAGAATGCATATAAAAATTACAATCAGAACAAATAATGCACTTGGAACAGCACTTTGTAAAGCCTTCAGGTGAAATGTGACTGTCCAAATGGTGTATACAATGAGCCATGTTAAATCACACTGTTCACCTTTGCAGAATGTACTGATCCATTACATACACATACACCAGTATATAGTGTGCCTTTTTAGTTACTAAACTGCTTAAATGCCTGGGGTATAGCAGGGCATACTTACGCATGACTGACCTAAATGTGACACATTTCTCTGTTCGTTATGGTCACCATAGCCTCCAACCACACCAACGAAGCCACGTTCATTACAATGGTCCACCTCAGCATCTTCTACAGTCACACACATGTCCTGCAGCTCTAGCTCCACATAATCTCTTTAAATAATGCTTCGATATTTGCCCTTCTGTACAAGGAATAAGCAACCATGTCATGGAGTCCCTGCTTAAGTATCCTCACCCAACCATGAGGGTTTGCATGCTGGTTCCTCAAACCCCAGAAGTGGCACTCACACTGGAAGAGCAAACACCGGAACATTCAGGTGGATGAAACACTCCCGCTGTATCATTATTAAAGGCAAATGACTGACTGCTGCATTGTTATGCATAGGTTGCTTGCTTTTCTCACAAAGGAAACATTTCTCATAGCAAATAGAGAAGCCCAATGCAGAAAAAAAATCTGTGAAGACAGAAATGTCAAAAATGCAAAGTCGACACAAAAAAAGACAAATAAGTACCAGATATGAAAACATTTTATTCAAGTTGATTTATGGCTGCCATTTTCAAAGACTTCGTATCCGAGTCCCCTTCTCTTGTCAGTACTCTGTACACCTTACAGCATGGCTGACATTTGCAAGCTCACGGTAACATTCCAGCTCCTCACCATTCGGATGGGGGCCAGCCGGAGCTGAGACTCAGTCAGTGCAGCATCCTCGTCTCTTGGGACGACCCCGTTCTGAGCCATAAGCTGGAGGACGGTGGTACAATCTTTAGGAGGTGACACCCTGAGTAACAGGCCATAGGCACGGCAGTAGAGCTCTGTGGACAGCAGCAGGCCCGTGACAGGTGGCTTGACATGCTCTTGTTCATACTGGTCCAGATAGAAGGGGTCTCGTAATTCAGCCGGAACATTCTCTAAATAGGGTTAGAAGAAACAAACAGAACATCATCCTGCACATGAACAAACAGAACATCATCCTGCACATGAACAAACAGAGCATCAACCTCACTATGTTCTCTACAGGGAAACGGGAGGGACAAACAGAACAT